TGGTCATTTTTATTCATATGAGGATCTAGTTTATGAGAGAACAGAAGAAATGTTAGCTAGAGAATTTATAATGGAAGTGAAAGGAAAAAGCCAATAAATCTAAGAATGAGGTGAAGTACCAGAAGAACCCAGTAGGGCAGATATCAGAGTTTTAAGTTGGGAGCTGAGTGTGGGAGACAAAAATATTCCCAGGGAGAATGTTGCATCTATATGGAAGATACTGAGGATGGAAGAACTGAAGAGAGAGGAGGCTTAAGATGTTTGAGTCTGGGGTACCCCGGGTGGCTCAGTCGATTGAGCGTCTGACTCTTAATTTTGACTCATGATCCCAGGGTCATGGGATTGAGCTCTGCATTGGGCTCTGTGCTGAGTGCGAAGCCTGCTTAAGATTCTCTCTCTCCCTCTGCCCCCTCCCCTGCTCTGCTCTCTCTGTCTCTAAAAAACAAAACAAAACAAAACAAAACAAAACAAAACAAAACAAAAAAGATGTTTGAGTCTGGACTAAGAAGGTGGCTCCTCAAGAGTTGGAACAATCTTTGAATTAACTTGAATTGTTTTTAATGACTATTTAGTTGTCTAACTGTTTTTCTTTGAATTTGGTGCTATTTTTGGACTTTGGTTCACTGGTTGGGAGAAATTATATTCATGTTCTTTAAAAAAGAAAAGCATAGTGAACCTATCTTTGCCCCAAGTGCAGAAACTCTGTCTGAAGAGAGAAAGGACATGTCTTCCAATAAACAATCAGAAGTGTGGCCAGTGCCATTGTGTGCAGGGACACCCTGCTTCACGACTGCTGATGATACTTCTCTGAGTGTGCAGAGGTGCAGCTCCTGGCCAAGAACCAACACATGCCATTGTCAACCTGCCCCTCCTCACCTAACTCCTCTCCTGATGGTGCTCCAAAGACTGCTCCAAAAAAGTCAGTTAATCTAATACAATGTAGAAAAAGAAAAATTTCAAAGAAAATTTACAAAAATTTTCAAAATATGTTTTAAAAACCTGGTACTTGGGTGCACTTGGGCACTTGGGTGGCTCAGTTGGTTAAGTGACCAACTCTTGTTTTCGGCTCAGGTCATGATCTCATGGTTCGTGAGTTGGAGCTCTGTGCCAGGCTCCATACTGACAACATGGAGCTTGCTTGGGATTCTCTCTCCCTCTCTCTGCCCCTCCCCTGCTCATGCTCTCTCTCTCTCAAAATAAATAAACATTAAAAAAAAAATCCAAACATCGTACACTGAAAAAGAGACATAGGGAAATCCACAATTATAGTTGAATATTTCAACACTTCACCTGTAGGAATAAATAGAACAAGTAAGGATATAGAATACCTGAACAGTGATATCACCTAATTTTACCTTGTAGGAACGCCTGGGTGGCTCAGTTGGTTGGATGTCCGACTTCGGCTCAGGTCATGACCTCACAGTTCGTGGGTTTGAGCCCCGTGTCGGGCTCTGTGCTGACAGCTCAGAGCCTGGAGCCTGTTTTGGATTCTGTGTCTCCCTCTTTCTCTGCCCCTCCCCTGTTCACACTCTGTCTCTGTCTCAAGAATAAATAAACATTAAAAAAATTAAAATAAATTTTACCTTGTAAATAACCATAGAAAAATCCCTCACAAAACAAAATACACATTCAGCTGTATATTGATCATTCATCAGAATAGACAATATTCACAAGAAACTTAAAAAATTCTAATTATACAAAGCATACTCTCTGAACAAGTTGAACTTAAGCTAGAAATAAAAAAGTAGAAACATGCCTGAAACATCTGCAAATAATTGAAAATTAAACAATACATTTTAAATAACCCGTGGATGAAAGAATCACAAGGGAAATTAGAAAATATTTTGCATTGAATGAAAATAAAAACACAACAGTAAAAGCAGTGCTTAGAGGGACTATATAGCATTAAATATTTATTTTGGAAAGAAGATAAAAAGTCTTAAATAGATGATTTAAATTTCTATCTTAAGAGATCGAAAAAGAAGAGCAAAAGTAAGAATAATAGGAAATAATAAAAAATAGGAAATAACAACATTAAGAGCAGAAGTTAATAAAACAGAAAACAAAATACAATAGAGAAAAATCACTGAGAATCAAAGAAACAGTATCTTGTTGCTGTGAAAAGGCACATAAGTCACCCTGACATTCTCATCAGGGCTCTGATTTGCATGGGTCCATCATAAGCGGATTTTGACAGATGTTTAATTTTGTTACCATTCCTCTTACAGATTCTATTCTTAGGGGATCTGTCACACCCATGCAACTAATTGAGTTGTTGAAAGGCTATCCCTTTTCTCTGTGTGCCAATCAGTTCAGTATTAGCGTCCCTCTATAATACTGGCCAAGAGGAATCAGATGCGGACAAATCTTAACCACTTTATTGATCTGAGAGATGGTCTTGGATGATCATATATAGTGAACAGCTTTAGAAGTTACCAAACACGCAAACTTAGTTTTTAAAAGACTTCCTTTTGAAGGGATTACATGTAAAACCTGACCGTTCTATATTCTATTAATGACTTCACAGACATTTCTTTTTTTTATTTGCCCAACATTATTTAATCAATTTAATTTGCCAATCACAATAGCAATTTAGACACATCCAAAGTCTGTTGCTGGTAAATAACAATTTGAATGAGAAAGTGTGCTAAATGAGTTTATATAATTATAAAAATAGTACAGTTAATTTTTCCAAGTCAGTCTATAGCTATGCTTACTTACATGGCTATTGAGAATTCTGTGGACTTTTCATCTATTAAATTTTTATTGTTATTAATAATTATTGATATTTAAATATGTGTGTATTTCACAGACATTTCAAACTTCTCACGTCCAGATGGATCTTTGGATGTCCTCTCTCCCCACTCCCAATTTGTTTGGCTCCCTGTCTTCATTATCTCAGTAAAGGACATTAGTAAACACCTACTGCACTGTGAGAAAGAGGACACCAACTTGCTTTCTCCTTCTTTTTCTCCCTCCTTAAGTTCAACAGCAAGGCTTGTGTCTCCCATTTCCAATATAGGTCTGGGATCTCTCTCTCTGTTCCCACAGCCGTGGCTGTGATCCAAGCCACCATGATTTCCCCCCTGAGCTAGGACAATAGCTTCCTTAGTGGACTTCTCATATCCCTCCTTGTCTTCTTCCAGTCTATTTCCTTTAAACACACAAACCAGGTCATGGTACTCTCTGCTTAAATCTCCACATGGCTATACAATGCACTTAAAAATACTTGAAACTCCTAATTATGGCCTACAAAGTCCTGAATGGTCTGACATCTACTCATATCTCCAAACTGATCTCAATCTGCTTTTCCTTTAGCCAACTGTGTGCAGGTATCATTGGCTTTTTCTTCTCTTCCTGGAGCATGTCAAGTGATCTTCCAGGGACTTTGGCAATACTATTCTCTGCCAGGAAAATGCTCTTGGCCATACCACTGTTCTTGATAATATCATCCTCCAGGTGAATGTGTCAGCTCTCCCAAAGAGCAGTCCTGACCATTTTAGGTATGTTCATTTCACTCCCACTCTCATAAGTACCCTTTCATATCACTCTGTGGGCCCCCTCCTCACACGGTTGATAAGTGCCATGACAGTGGAAGTTCACACCCATTTTGCTCATTATTGTATGTGTGGCATCTGGCCAAGTATCTGGAAACCAGCAGTTGTTTAGTAAAGACTTTAGTGTCTTCATGCCTATTGTTTCCTGTATTGAAGAACTCTTCCTCCATCTTCAGAAATCCTGCTACTTCACAGCAGTCCCCTGGACTTTGCTCACCAGTCACTTACCCAGAGAGGTCTTCCCTGACCACCCTGTAAGCCTTCCCATCATACCTACGCATCACTCTCTTTTGCCTCGTTAGCCTTCATTATCTTTGTTCTTACCACTTGATATTTTGTGAATTCTCTTGTTTATTGTTGATTATCCATCTTCCCCTAGGGAATGTGACTCCACAAAAGCAGTGACTTTGTTTAATGCTGTATCTCAGCACTGGAAATAGTGCCTAGAACACAGTAGAGACTTGATAGATATTTATTGAGTGAATGAATGTACAAAGCCAGGCAAGGCCATGCTAAATTCCATAATGAAATGATTTTGAAGAGTAGAAGATGAGTTGGCATTGAGACCCAGTTAAACCGTAAGCATTTGGGGATTTAAACCCCTTTCCTTTGCTTCCTGGCTTCACCCCTGTGCTGTAAGAGGAACAAAGGAAATGATCCAGAGTATCGGTCTCCTCGATTCTTTCTAGTATCCAGTGTCTTTTCCCTTTACTTTGGCAGCTCTGTGTGAGTGTGAGTTTTGCATTCATCTTTTAGCTGCTGGGAAGAAAAGATAAACTGAATGAAAGAATGAACATTTAAATGAGTAAATAGGAACGTTCTCAGTGGATGCTTGAAGATGTGTATCAGTCATCCCCTTGGAGAGTCACAAATGGCCTGCAAAGCATTGTTGAAATTATAAACAAGATTCTCCCAAATCTGGTACATGACAGATCTATAGTATATCTGTAATAAAAATACATGTTTTAAAAAAGATATGTCTTTGAAAAACCCAGAGATCCTTATCTATATTTATCTCAGGACTCCTTCTCCCATATAGAACCTAGATCATTTCAATGTATTGCTATTGGTATTTTTCAGAAGGTCACTCACAGGGGATTAAGCTTGAGTGCTTGTGCATTGTGCCATTGAGTCCGTACAGATATTTTGGGTTACTATTTGTCAAAACTGAAAGATTATTTTCAATAATCAAGAAGCTTATCTTAAAAATATTAATGTTTTTCAAAAAAATTCCTGATTTAAAAGTTATATGAATATATATAAAATGCATGTTTAAGAATACATATATACATATATACACATATACACACAGAGAGACACACACAAATCAATTATAAAAAGCTGTTGTAACAAATCAACATGTATTTGTGGTTGTGAAACTTGATTGTAAAACACATATTAACTTGCTTTGTAAAGAATGAAGGGTGGTCAGAGGGAAACAAAATGGCAGCGCCAAAGGGGAGCCTCTGGGTCAGGGCCCAATTGGGGTTCCCGCCACTGCTGCTGCTGACCATGGCCCTGGCGGGAGGCTCGAGGACCACTTGGGCTGAACTGTTTGACTCGGCCTTGGGTGATATGGCATCTTATCACTGGGCCTGTCAGTTGACCTTCCTCTTACATACCTACCCCAAGGAAGAGGAGTTGTACGCATGTCAGAAAGGTCGCAGGCTGTTTTCAATTTGTCAATTTGTGGATGATGAAATTGGTTTAAATTGGACCAAAATGGAATGTTGAATCTGCATGTAGAGAAGCACATTCTCAATCTGGTAAGCAATATGCTTCACATCTTGGTTGCCAGGACCAGCTGCCATTTGCTGAACTGAGACAAGAACAGCTCATGCTCCTAATGCCAAAAATGCATCTATTCTTCCCTCTAACTCTGGTAAGGTCCTTCTGGAGTGACATGATGGACTCTGAACAGAGCTTCATAACCTCTCCATGGACGTTTTATCTTCAAGCTGATGATGGAAAAATAGTTATATTCCAGTCTAAGCCAGAAACCCAGTATGCATCACAGTTGGAGCAGGAGCCAACAAATTTGAAAGAATTGTGCCTACACAAAATGTCCTATCTGCAAACGAGAAGTTCACAAACACATAGGAAGTGTCTTGAAGATGGAGAAAGTGATGGCTTTTTAAGATGTTTCCCTCTTAACTCTGGGTGGATTTTAACCACAACTCCTGTCCTCTCGGTGATGGTATTGCTCTGGACTTGTTGTGCAACTGTTGCTACAGCTGTGGAGCAGTATGTTCCCTCTGAGGAGCTGAGTATCTATGGTGACTTGGAATTTGTGAACGCACAAAAGCTAAACAGATATCCAGCTTCTTCTCTTGTGGTTGTTAGATGGAAAGCTGGACTATGAAGAAGCAGGGCCTCTACCTACAAAAGTGAATCTTGCTCATTCAGAAATTTTAGTGTTTTTTTTTCTTTTTTAAAGAAAAGGGTAATAGACATCTAAATTTCCATTCCTCATAGAGCTTTTAAAAATGGTTTCATTGGTGGGGTGCCTGGGTGGCCTAGTTGGCTAAGCACCCGACTTCTGCTCAGGTCATGATCTCACGGCTTGGGTTTGAACCCCTGTCAGGCTCTGTGCTGACAGCTCGGAGCCTGGAGCCTGCTTCAGATTCTGTGTCTTTTTCTCTCTCTGTCCCTCCCCAGCTCATGCTCTGTCTTTCTTTCTCTTTCTCAAAAATAAATACACATTAAAATTTTCTTAAATAAAAAAACAAATAAAAAATGATTTCATTGGATATAGGGCTTAGACATCACTATAAAATGCAAATAAATTTACCCAAATCTGTGAAGACTGTATTTGCTGTAACTTTATCTGTAAGTTTTTTTTCTAGTAATTTAAGAGATGGGTATTTGAGATCACATTTTTATTTTACTTATAGCTGTGGCTATTCTATTATTTACATTGTTTTTGTTTGTTTTCTTTCTTAGCCAAAATCTGTGAGCTATTGCTCTTTCCCATCTCCTAGACCATGATACTGTCACTTTAGTTAATAAATTGAACACTCAGTAGCATTTGATGCTTCTGCTCAGAAATGGCCCACAAGCTGTATTTTGAAATTTAGCAGGAAATGCCCTTTTATGACACTAGATTTTCAGTTGTACTGATGGAAATCATTAAAATGTTATTTGAAAAAAAAAAGAGAACAAAAGGTTATAGGAAGGTATTATATTATGTGTGCATAATATTTTCCTAGATAGAAGAAACTACATAAGTGTTTTGTTCTGTTGTCTTGCGTGTACTTTGACCCATGATTATTTGGACAGATTTTGAGTTATTTCCCTTGGTAGGAAATAACCAAGGCTACGCATCTGCAAGGTTTCAGGCCAAGGTAATGGATATAGCCTAGAGCCCTGAAAGCTTTTTCTTGGGGCAGCTCCCCTGAGGTATAAAGAATTTGAGTGTAAATCATGCCCTGGCCAGCAAAAAGCCATCTCTTAGTCACTGAGCTGACGTGCCAAGACCTCTTCTCTTGCCAGGGATAGGTTTGATGTGTAGACCTCAGGACTGTGGGTTCAGTATGCTGTGTGTGTCACTCAACACCATGCCATATCTTCCCTGTCATCATGCAAAATGAATAGCATGAACATTTTGGGAGCTGTGGCCCTTCTGTCATTGAATGGTTGCTCACCAGCTTCAGAAGGAATGCACTGACATTAGCAAAATCCTTAAGGAGAAGAAATGAGGAAACCAAAGATGAGAAAACAGCAAGGCTGCAGAAATGTGAGTGCACACAATGCTAAGTGTCTCTCTGGATTGCTATTATTTGTTCCTGAGGATCTTTCAAGAGGATAGAAACTGCAATAAAAAAATAAGGGAATTTGGGGTTTTTAGCCTGAATAAGCAAGGCTATAGGTGCCATTTAGATGGCCATTTAAATGGGTCAGGTTAAATGCGGATTCTTCCCTGCTCCCAAAGCCTGTAGAATAGATATAAACTTAAACAGTTTAGTAGCAGCCAGAATACACATTAACTATAAAAACATAACTTTTAGGACCTGTAGTTCCCAACCAGGAGGTGCAACAGAATCATCTGGGATTCTTTTTCAGAATAAATGTGCCTGGACCTCATCTCAGGTTAACTTTTTTGTAAGGTGGACTGGAGAATCAGCATTTTAGTTTGGATTTACCATTGGGTTGACCCCTCCTCCGTTTTCATCTTTTGAAGCACTTGGTTCCTTGACAAGATTTTCCCAGTCAATGTGGACCTAACTTCCTTATTGGCTCACATGTGGCAGGAAGTTGGCCCACTACATATACCCAGCACAGGACCTGGTAGTGAGGGGAGAGATGATTTTTTTTGAAAGGCCAGCAGAGGGAGCTGAGAAACAAGTTTTCCTCTTGCCTCGTATTCCTGTGGCTGTGGAGGTCGACAGGTAATTTTTCTCTCCCAGATTATAATTTGGAACAGATTAAATCAAGATCCGAATATTCTGGAATTTGGCAAGTGAGTGCGCCAGGTATTTCAGTCTCACTTTGCCTCCTTGAGCCAGCCATGTTGCCCTTGTCTCTGAGGGATACAAGCACAAATGTAATACACTGTGCCACTGTGGATGTCTGCTCTGTCTCATGACCCTCTTCGGGAGGGAGACAAAGACAGCAGAATCAAATTGGACTCTGGGTTACAAGACAAAATGGCCAATACGTTTCTTTTCTCTTCAGGTTTTTTCCCTAATAAGTTAAAGAATGACTTTCTTAGGGTGATAGTGTTATTCTTTTTTGAGGGATGCCTTGTTGACGATCCTGACTACAAGCTCCTCCATTTGACCCAAAAAGGAAACAACAGCTAATTACTCGAGACAGAGAGCAGGTTGCATTTTTGCTAGGTCTGAAGATAAGTGAAATAGGTAATTTATAAATGAAAAGGAGAATCAGCCACAGAATGGGAGGGAAAAAAAAGATAATAATTCAACCTAGCCTTACAATTGCAAAGAGAAATGAAGAAACTTAAAAAAAAAAAAAGATAAAACCTGAATTGCAAAATTCAGGTTGTGCTGAATGTGCTGATGAATAGAATCCATTCAATTCCTGAGCAAATGAAATAATAACAGTAAGCTTGTAATCATGGTAGATCTTCAGATTATTTTCTGGGTATTAGTGGGAAATGACCAGAACTAAATGGAACATAAGTATTATTTGAATCAGCGTCCCTATTCTTTGGATGGTGAATGCAACAGTGATTTTAGAGTGAATCAGGCTAAAAATAGCTGTAGGGCTTTTTTTTTAAATATGAAATTTACTGTCAAATTGGTTTCCATACAACACCCAGTGCTCATCCCAACAGGTGCCCTCCTCAATACCCATCACCCACCCTCCTCTCCCTCCCACCACCTATCAACC